TACTATGTGCTGAGGATCAAACCACCTGGTTTCTCTTTTTATTTTTATTTATTTATTTTTAGCATTTATCAATTTTTTTAATTTTTTATTTTTTTATACATGTATTTTGTATAAAGATGAGGGTCTCCTTCCACCATCCATGCTATTCCCTTTCTCCCTCCCTTTCTCTCCCACCCCTATTCCCTATCTAGAGGTAATCTTCCTCCCTTGCTCTCCCTCCCAACCCCATTTTGAGTCACCCCCCTTATATCAGAGAAGACATTCAGCATTTGTTTTTTGGGGATTGGCTAACTTCACTTAGCATAATCTTCTCTAATGCCATCCATTTCCCTGAAACATACCATGATCTTATTCTTTTTTATTGCTGAGTAATATTCCATTGTGTAATAAATGCCACATTTTTTTTTATCCATTCGTCCACTGAAGGACATCTAGGTTGGCTCCACAATTTAGCTATTGTGAATTGTGCTACTATACTGGTTTCTCTTTTAAGTGTGCACCAAATAAGAAAAATGAGCCTGTTCAAGAGATCATTATAATACACTTGGACTGGGGCAGAGGTGGAGCTCAGTGATAGAGCATTTGTATGGTGTGTGTGAGGTCCTGAGTTCCATTCCTAGCACCAAAACCCCCAAACCAACCAAACAACAAAATTCCCCAAAAAACAATAAAACTTCTTGGTTAATGCTAAACTGCAAAGGAAGAAATGTTCAGTTTCACCGTGGTTCATCAGGGTTGGCTTCTGGGAACCAGGATTTTTTAAAATTATTCATTCATAATAATTACACATATTCACAGGGTACACTGTGATGTATTGATGTGTGTACACACTGTGTAATGATTAAGTCAGTGTCACTGGCATGCCCATCACCTTCACTGCTTTGTGATGAGGACATAGGTTCTGGAGCAGAGTTTTAGGGAAGGGAGAGGAGAAAAGTGAGGAGGGCATCCAGGGTAAAGAACTGCATGTGCAAAGACTCAGCAGTGTGATGGTGCCTCAGAACAGGAGAAATACAGCTTTGGCTGGAAGGAAAAGTTGGGTGACAAATGACACCCTGTCAGACACCTTCCACTGTGAAAGTGGAGGCACATTCTTTTTGCTGCTGGTGATAATGCCTAGAATTTACATTTGGTGTTAATTTGACTTCATTTACATAATGCCTCAGTATAAAGAACCTCTAAGATGTTGTCTAATTGTTCTCTTCCTCTTGCTAACCCCAAGGCTGAGTTAGTCAACGTAATGACCTTTATTTGGCGTGAGGCAGAGAAATCTAATTGGATATTTTGCTGCATCAACTTCATCCTAACATGGTAACTTAAGTCATAGAAACAGTAGAACAATAACTCTAAAGAGACTTTGATTCCTCCATCTTCATTTTTCCCAGTCCACAAAAGACTTTGTATATTTCCTTATACTTGTGGTATGCATGTTCTCTGTGGCCTGTTTTTACTATATGCTATTAGGAGGTTATTGGACATTTTTGCTTTTATAAAAGTATTCTTAAAACTAGTCTTTCACAAATGCCTAATATTCCCTTTATAGCAGTCACTGGAAATTTGTTATTCTTCAGTCTTCCAATAGTTTAGGAAATATTGTAATGGCAATCTTTGTGTATCCAGTTTTTTTCTTGTTAGATTATTTTTCTTAGTTTCAGAAACTCCGAACTTAAGGTTTTCCACCCTGTTATTATACTTCAAATAACCGTTTCAGCATGAATTTTTAATTCATTTTACTTTCTTCATATAGTAGCCTTACTAATGCATTAGTCCACGAATTTCTATGTATCATTCTACGGTGCAAGCCTCAGAGTTCCTGCTGCTGTAACTATGAAGTGTAGGAGGGCAGAGAGATACTGGTGGCCATAAAAAGTCACTTTAACCTGAAGATCTGAATCCCCTCTCTATTGTTTGCTCAATTTATTGATGCATTTGAGTTTGCATCTTTTCATCTTTTATCACCAACTCACAATTCATCATAACTCATTCTAAGTATCTCTAAACATTTTCACTACCCTACTTTGGTGACTTATATTTGAATGATAATACCCTTCCCTCCCACTCAGTATTCAAAGCTTTGATTGTATTTGTGCTGTCTGCCTTCCTACTGCTCAGTGGTCTTTTAAACTTTTCATTATATGGGTAAGTTAGTTCCAAAAGCCAGAAGCTCTTTGTTGCAGCCAGCCCTTAACATATGACCTAGAAAATTCACTCCTGGGTATTTACACCAGACAAGTCTTTACAGAAAGCACTTACCTGGATGTTTACAACAGCTCTATTCATATTTCCAGTTAAAATCTGGAAACAATCCAAGTGTCCTTTAGTGGGTGAATGATAACACAGTGCTGTGTGTCCATACAAAGCATACTACTCAACAACCAAAGAAAACACCATCGAAACACTCCGCAGTATGGATGAATCTCAGAGGAATTATGTGGAGTGAAAGAAGTCAGTCTCAAAAGGTTGCATACTCTGTGGTTTTATTTATATGCAGTGATGGAGAACACATCACTGGTTGCAGGGAGCTAAAGGTTGGGGATGATGTGCTATAGAGGGATAGTAGGAATGTGTGTATACGAGTGTGTGTGTGTGGAGGGGGGTGTTGATGAAACTTTTATGTGTTCTAATGTGATTTAGCACAAGTCTATTGGCTATATGTCAACATTCATAGAACCATACACCAAAAAGTTATTTTATTACAAATTTAAAAATTTATTGGTGAAAATCCCAATTTCATCAAACTAGCCAAATGTCTTTGGATATTATCTAACCTCTAAATCTCAGCTTATATACCCACAAAATGTGGAAGCTACTCTGTACTTGAAGAGGTGCTATAAGGACAAAATAAGATGTTATGAGTTCTCTCCTTGACATACTAGAAGCACCTCTTTTTCCTTTCTGTGGTAGATATTTCTCACTGGGAGCAGATTCTTTGTATTATTTTCATCCACACTTTCTAAAATAGTTATTTGGCTCTCAGGGGACAAATTGGAGCCACTGAGTGTTTCAAGCAGGAATGTGACATGATCTGACTTTCATTTTGAAAAGATTGTTGGAGCAGCTTTGTAGAGAAGGCAGAGGGGTAAAAGAGGAAACTAGGAGACCAGGAAGAGTGGCCAGAGAGACCCAAAGAGAAGCAGTGGTGACATGGCATTATGCAGGCACAGTGGATTATTTGGGGAGATATAGGAACAACAAGCTTGATGATGGCTTGAGGGACAAGAAAAGATAGATGGCGGTGTCATTGACTGAGTGAGAGACTCAAGGGAGGAGCACACTCACGTGAGTGGGTTGTGGAGGGCATTGTCACATTAAGGTTGGAAACCAAGCATGCAGTTGGACCAAGCCAGTGTAGTCCTGTCCATTTCAAGGTGTGCAGCACATGTCAACAAGGGGTTCTCAGCCCTCCCTGGTCAGGGTTGGGAGCACTGAGGGCTGCTCTTCCTCAGGCTCAGCCTTGAGGATTTTAACAGAGTAATTCTCTTTATTCTCAAGAGGGATTGTAGAAATTCTACCAGAATTCAGATTATGCTCATACTTTTCACTGTTGCCAGATTTTCCCCCCCCTTTTCTATTTAATGATATTTAAAGAAAGGAGGTATCCAGCATTTCCAAATACCCCAGCTTGGAAGTCATCAGTCATACTTTTAAGATTGAAAACTGTTCATAAGCTACTGAGATAAAGCAATCTCACCATGATCCATATCCAAGGAAATGAAATCAGCATATCCAAGAGACATCTGCACTCCCATGTGCATAGTGGAATACTATTCAGAAAAAAGCATTTCTATTATTTCTGGGAACCTGGAAGATAATACGTGAAGTGAAATAATCCAGGCACAGAAAGATAAATCGTACATGATCTTACATATGGAATAAAAAAGTTGATCTCATAGAAGTAGAGAGTAGAATGGTGGTTATTAGGAGCCAGAGAAGTTGGGGAGGTATAAATTTCAGACAGAAAGAATAAATTCCAGTGCTCTATTTTACAACATGGTGACTATAATGTATAGTTGAAAAAGCAAGATAATGGACATAAAGCATTCTTACCACAACAATGATAACTACGTGAGGTTAACTCATTTGTTAATTAGCCAGACTAAGTAATTCCACAATGTTGACATACTTCAAAATATCATTTTGGCTACAGTAAATAATACAATTTTATCTGCCAATATAAAAAAATAAAATAAGATACTGAGAATGAAGATGAATATACAGACATGACACAGAATATGCGGGATTATATTCTAAAACATGGTTGACCCTGTCATCCTCAAATTTCCAATTTTGCCACAGACAAGGGGAAAATCAGGGTATGTTTTTTCCTCTGGGAAGAGAGGGATATGAATGGGACTTATGGAGGGGGTGGAGGAACCTCAACTGCATCTGCAGACAGCAAGGTACTGATCAGGTCAGTGTGTTCATCAGGCTCATCTGTGTTTAGAATGTCCTAGAATTAAAAAATGAAGCCAGGTGTGCCTGTAAGCCCAGCAACTCAGGAGGCTAGGGCAGGAGGATCACAAGTTTAAAGCCAGCTTCAGCAAGTCAGTGAGACCCTGTGTCTAAATAAAATATATATTTTTAAAGGGCTGGGGATATGGCTCACTGTAAAAGCATCACTGGGTTCAATCCCTAGTATGGAGAGAAAGAGAGAGAGAGAGAGAGAGAGAGAGAGAGAGAGAGAGAGAGAGAGAGAGAGATTCTTTAACATATGAAAAATAATTTTTAAATCTATACATGAAAGACAAGGTTCTTTTCCCACCCACCCCATTTTCATGGATCAACTTAAAGAGCAATCTCTTAGATTTTTCTCTCAGAAAATGTAATTACTTTGAAATGAAATGTTAATGCTATGTTCTATTCTTAAAGTCACTTGCTAACAGTGATAAAGCTATGGCTTAATGGAGTTGCTAAATTTTCTCCTAGGTCATTCTTCTTTCGTATTTCAAATGAGCTAGTGATGATCTGGAGTATTTTTTTTTTTTTTTTAACAAACACAGGACTATCTCAGCTAAGACTCATCACCAGGCTGTTGACTTCAACATCTTCGAGGGCATGGTTTGCCACGGGGTCCCCCTGGTAACCATTTCAAGGGGCAAAGTGGTGTATGAAGCTGGAGTTCTCAATGTCACAGCAGGAGAAGGGAAGTTCATTCCACGCAAACCTTTCGCTGAGTATGTTTACCAACGAATCCAGCAACGAGACCAGGTGAGTCCTGCACAGTGGGCCAGGCCTGGGACGGACTGTTACCTGCTGTGGGTGTGGTTTGTGGTGATGGTGGCATTGTCACATCACACTGCTCTAACATATTCCTGGGATGTTTGGGTTTATTTATATGAGAGATTACAGACAAATGCCAATTTTCAAAGGATCTTTGGATGGATGTGTTTTCCTTGGCAGACGAGTGTGTCGATTCAGGACTTTCTGATGGACAAGGTTGGATTTTTGTTTTTTTGGTTTTTTTCCAGGCAAGCTCAGTACATTTTGGGCAATTTAATCAGGATCCTCCAAGAAACAGACATTCAGATGGATAAAGGTGTGAGGGGGTTATTACAGGAAACACCTGGGAAAGAAAATGGGCAGGAACTGGAAAGACATGCCCCAGAATGTAACTCAGGTCTGACCCCAGACAGGAAAGAAGAAAAGAAAGCGAGTGGAAGCATCCAGACCACCACACCGTCTAGCAAGGGTTGAGAGGGGCCCCTGGCAGCCCTACCCCACTGTGATCAGTCATTGACTGGGACAGCCATAGGAGGTGTGGTCACAGCGCAGACTCTGATGACATTCAGTGCTGAGCAGTGGCCCCTTGAGGAATTGCTATCCCTTTAGTTGAGGATTTGCGAGTCACATTCTCGTGACCATCAGAGTAATGGAGTAGGTAGATAGTATAAATATGAATTCCATCTTCCCTTTCCATTTCCTAGCTGTGAGGCCAAGAGCAAGTTTCCTTATCATCCTTGGGGTCAGATCCCTTATCTGGAAAATGAAAATAACATTTCTCCCTAACAAATTGTGACAATGGTGGAACCAGCATGGATAAGATTAACCAGACTCAGATAAGATTTTTTTTTTAAATGTAAGGTACATCCATTTAAGGCACATAGTAGGAGGTCAATAAATGCTAGTTCTGTTTCTTAATCTATAGCAAAGGCCCAAAGTTTATAATAATGCTGCATTATAAGAGATACTTGTTTTATTATTAATATTATTTATCTTGGCTTTTCACACATTTTTTTTAGTGTGTACAGAGTCTTTAAAAATTTTAAGTTTTACTATACTAAATATTTGTAATGTATTTGAATATTTAAAATCAAAAATCCATTTCTGGGTTTGGAGGTGGGGGTGGAGCCACCCTGTACCCTTAATCTCATATGGCATAGGTTAGAGCTGAATGGCTGGGCCCTGAGAATGTTCTGGTTTTCTCCCAGAAGGCTTTGCTCATGTTCCTTGCCTGGCATATAGACTTTGTGACCTGTGGATTTATTCTAAAACTTATTTCTCTTCTTTCCAGTTTTCAAATGTAGGTTTTCTTTTCCAAAGTTCTCCATCTGTTCTTTGATTCATTTCACTTAGATCTTTTAGTCTCTTTGATTTCTCCTCTAATGTCTTGTGCAATTTTTTTTTAACTTGTGGATTCTCAGAATTCGTTACCCAAGATTCCTGCATTAAAAAAAAATGCTTCCTAAGGTAAACCATTGCTCTAGAATGCTTTAAATTCACAGGAATACCACAATTCTTTATATATATCGTATTTCAGTCAAAACAGATAGTTTAAGATTACAGTTCATTTTGCTGTGGGGTTAATTTATAAGTGTGTTGACACTGACAGGTGACAGATGGGTGGTAACTGTAAGAGTCCCAGGTGTTTTTGAACATTTGTGTGGTAAAGAACAGCAGTACTAAAGCTTAATGGCTGCTTCTTGGATTCAAGGCATTCTTCTAAGGGCTCTGTTACTGTGAAAGCCCTATGAAGGAATGAGATATTATTTCTCTCATTTTAAAAATTAGAAAACGGAAACTTCAAGAAATTAAGAAACTTGTTCATGTCACACATCAGGTACTTGACAGGGCAGGACATAAACCCTGGTTATTCACCTTTAGAAATTGCATACCTAAGCAATCAATTATATTGTAAAATATAAAAATTGAGTTCAATGAGGTACTGAGAGATAAATGGCTCAGTATTAATTTGCAAAAGAGTCTTAGTTGCAGCCATGATGGCAGCTAGTTTATTCATGGGTCTGTAGCAGTAACTCGGTAGAGGCATGGAAGGGTAGACTTTGGAAATCACAAGAAGGTAGAATCAGTAGAACCAGGTGATAATGTGACACTTGAAATGGATCTGAAGTAGGGCTGCTCCTGATGGTCAGTTCTGGTTGGTCACCAGCAGGGACACTAGACAAACAGGGACTCCCTGATAGACTGTATTTAAATGACTAACTTGAGACAAGTTCTTCCCGGGATAGCAAAAATGGTTTGGACAGAAGAGGTCACCAGATGACTGGTTTCAACTGTTCTCCTTTTCAAATTGCTTTCTGTTTTGTTGGCAGAATTAATGTCCACTTCATATTTTATGTATTGACTACCAATTGTATGAATTATTTTAATTTCTTAATATTTTCTTCTGATATCCATCTCTTAGGCATTAAGAGCATTGTTATTTTGAGAATAACAATAGATGATAATTTTCATTGTTATCACATGTTGTTCTGAGAACTTACTATCTACCAAGAACTGCATTAGGTGATTTGTAGTCATTATTTTACTTAATGTGGACATTCACGTGAAGGATATTATCATTCTCAGTTTACAGAACAGAAAACTGAGCCTCAGCAAAATTAAACAACTTCCCCTGGGTTAAGAAATAAGTCAACTTAAGAGCCAGGATTTATGATATTTTCACTCTACCACAGGATCTCTGTAGAGACAAGAAAAGAGAAAAAATGATCATGAACCCCAAACCATGAGGGAATGCATGATTTAAAAAGATGTTGGGGGAAAAAATGCCAAAATGAGTAAAATAAAATTCAGTTTGGGAATTACATGATGGCATTTCAGACCCCTTTCCAGTTTAGTGAAGATGATTATAGAGTAAAAATATTACACTAAAGTTAAGAAAACGATTTGTCACAAACGCTAGATTTTAAATTCGCATGAGGTTATCAGAGCTCTTTGTTTTGTGCAGCTCAGAGGTAGAATGTTTGCTTAGCATGCACAAAGCCCTGGTTTCAATCCCCAGTGTCTAGATAAATAACTTAAATAAGTAAAATTAAAATACTCATATTTATTTGTGAGTAAAGGTTAAGAATTTGAAGGCAAGCAGGAAGGGACCATAAGATTTCTCCTGCTTGCCTGTTACACCCCCTCACCCTCCACCCCACTCACAGCTTCTTATCCTTTCCATGCTGATGCTTGGTACAGAGTAGCTTTTGACAAATTAATAAACAAAACACTAAGAGGAACAAAGGCAATAGCGTCAGAAGGACATAGAAGGAACTTTAAATAAATTAACCCAGAGATTGCCTCCTGCACCATCCCAACGAGTGGGGTTATCTGTAAGCTTGATTTTTTTCCGCGATTGTATTTCTGAGTAAAACTTACCATCATTCCACTTTGCCACTTTCACTGTTTTTGAATGTTGTGAGGCATTTCAAAGGAAAGAAGAGACATTTTTCCTCAATTCATCAGCTTTGGGGAATTATTATTTATTTTAAAACTTAGCTAATCCATAAGGGAAATTTTTAAAATCAAAAGACAAGACATCAGACTTTATTTTATAAATATAACACAATAAAACATTTCAATATTATATAAAAAGTCACTTAAGGAGCAGCGCTGTAGGGAAGAGAAAGAAAAGGGGGAAAAATAAGTAACAACAACTTAGATATTCCAAGAGATTTCCTGAAAGAACAAAATTATGTACTGTTGATTCTTTACCAAGAGCGTATAGCTCTTTCAATTCGAACATATATTTCTGAAAGCTTTGTGTATTTAGTGTTATAATTTTCATCAAAATTTGAAAAGATGGACTTTCTTTAAGTTATCGATTAAGTCATCTTTTTTCTCCTTTTCAGTAATAAGCAACTTTGTCCTTTTCTGTAAAATACAAGGCATATTGCATTTTAGAGAGAAATAGGAGTAGCTTCTCAGAGTAATAGATGGTTTCAGAGTACTGCTGCCAAAGCTTTTAAACTGGGTTGTATCTTTGCAACGATAAGCATAATTTGCCTTTCTAGATAAGATAAAATTGAGTGGATGGCTGACTTGGTCCTTGAAATGGGTATTTTCCATTTCTGAAATAATAGTTTGTCAATGTCTTTCTCAAGGTAAGTAGCTCAGAGAAAGTAATTTAAGATATGTCATCAACTGCCGTATAGACCCAATTTTCTCAGATAGATAGATAATAATAATAAAAGGCAATACATATGCTAGATCTGGCTCCTTTTGGCTCACAAAAGACACTTGAATTCACCTCTGCCCAAGCCCTCATTCAGGGATGTCACTGTGGTAGCTTGAAATCAAACATGGTAGGAGTATTTACACCACAGAAATAGGCAAGTGCTACAAATTAGGATTTTAAGGATGGTGATAAAAAGAAGAGTCTACTGGTTGTTCATATTTACCAGCACACTACTGTATCATAGGACACTTTCTAAGTACATGTTGAGCATCCCTAATCTAAAAATCTAAAAAACTCAAATACTCCAAAATCTAAAACTTTTGAAAATTGACAAATGCATTGAAGTATCTCAGATTTTCAGACAAGGAGTACTCAACCAGTAAAGTTTATGCAAACATTCCAAAGTCAAAAAACAAACAAACAAAAACCCCAAAACTCCAAACTCTAAACCACTTCTGGGCCCAAGCATTTTGATGTGGGACACTCAGCTTATAACTCTTTTCATGCTTTAATCTAATCATTAAACATTCTTTCTGTAAATATTTGTTGATCATCAGTCAAGTGTCAGTATAGGTTAATTTTCACAACCACCTGGGAATAGCAGTTGTTCTATTTTATAGATTAAGCTTTTGAGGCTCACAGAGGTCACTTAGCTGGGTTGGAGGCTCAGGTCTAAACCAGTCCCTTCAATGTCTAGCACTACAGCACATTAATCATGAAGTTTAATCCCTACTCAAATGAATAGCCACCCATCTCCCACCCTCAGCGTAGGGTCCCCCATTCTCCCCACTGCACGAAGGGATCATTT